GAGCTGTTTGCTTTCTCTTGCTTGGTCGCCTTAATCCCTGGCGTGTCTTCCTCGGCTCTGGCGTATTTCTCAATTCTAGCCATGAGCTCTTTCATGCTTTTAGGCAATGTCTTTACAAATGACTTTCGTAGTGCACAATCATCTTTTAGGCCGTTCTTGAAAGACACGATCGCCACCTCTTGGTTGCATTCGGGTATTCTGTTGAACACCTCATAATACCTTTTTGCGTAGGCCCTAAGGCCTTCATCCTCACTGATTCTTAGAGCCATCAGGGCGTCCACCCTTAATGGCTGTAGTTTGTTTGTCATGAACCTAGCCACGAACATCTCGGCCAGGCCTTCCCAGGTTTTCACACTTCCTTTTGCCAACTTGTGAAACCAATCTGACGCAACTTTCCCGAAGGATGAGGGGAACACCGTGTAAAGCAATGGTTCGTTTCCAGTGTATAGTGCCATCGAGTTCAGGTATAAACCGACGTGAAAGTTAGGGTCCCACTTACCATCGTATATCTAGAACCTCGGCATACTGAATCTTTTCGGGGCCTCAACTTTGTCTAACTCTACCGAGAATGGTGTTCTCGATTTAACTGGGGAAGTTACCTCGGCATGCGCTTTCTTCCTCTTGAGATAATCTCTCAAGTCCTCTTTGGTCCGTCCTGGAGCTCGGCTATCTCCTGATTTCAGTCTTTTAGGTGCATTATTTTCAGCTTCGTTGTGAGCCCTTTTTGACCTTTCTCCATTGGTCGCATCAAAGCACAACTCCTGCTTTTGAACATGCCGATGTTCTCTGGGGTCTGCCTCCTTGGTGCGATGTGTCCTTCTAGATTCTTCACTTCTTGGCTCTCCTCGCCCGACCTCCCTTGAAGGCCGGTGAGGGTGTCTTTCGCTCCTGGCGTGTTGGGGGGCTACAGGGATTGTTTTCTACCCTCCCTTCTGGGCATTGGCCGCTGGAATAGACGTGTCCTGTAGCGGGAACGGTGGCTGCATGACGTTATTTTGCATCATGAAATTGACCATTGTTTGTAGGTCCGCCAATTTGTTCGCCATAGTCTTTACCTCATCGTCCCTCCTCAGGCATCTTTCTTTCCATACCTGGAGGCTATCTTCGTTATAGTACCCGCTTTGGTCTGTTTTCTTTGGTATGCCGCCTCCCTGGCCGACGTCTTTCACTCCGTGATTATGGTCACGAGTTTCTTCGTTACAATTGTCTTTTTCGACATCAAGGTCAATAGGTCTCCCACTCCCAGTAGGAGTGTTATGCTCAATCTTCTCTTTCTGTCCGTCGTTGGCCATCTATTCTTCTGTTTTCCCACAGATGGCGCCAAATTATGTGAGTGAATTTCTGACCACACTGCCAACTCAGTATTCAACTAGAGAGCACTGGCAGAATAGGATAAGCCCGAACGACTTGCAACAGAAAAAAGAGATTCCGGCGATGGTCCATCCACCCGGGGGCACTCGGATGATTAAGTCAGTAATCAAATATCTCTCAAAGATAATCAATAGTGCTTAGCTCACTGTTCTGAATATAAATTGCGTACCTTAGACCCATGGGGGTGCCATTTTTTTATAATCAATACAAATCTAGTCCCAATAGAAGCCTAGTTTCAATGGACTTCAGCTTACTGCTAATCTTGGACTCTTCTATAGATAAAAATAAACTCCCTAAGAACTTTATCCTTATCCAGGTTGAGGTCCTTCCTCATTCTAGGACTCTTGTCCCCTATCCGCTTATTTCGGATTCCGGTATCTTCAGAGATAACCTCGGCCTAACTGAGATAACCTCGGCCTAACTGAGATAACCTCGGCGCCACGACCAGGACACGTGGCAACCTTCCTGACACGTCGGCGTCACCTCGGTCACGTGTTGGTATTCAGAAAATATATCCCCATAGGTATTTATACTCCCAATAGAAGCCTAGTTTCAATGGACTTCAGCTTACTGCTAATCTTGGACTCTTCTATAGATAAAAATAAACTCCCTAAGAACTTTATCCTTATCCAGGTTGAGGTCCTTCCTCATTCTAGGACTCTTGTCCCCTATCCGCTTATTTCGGATTCCGGTATCTTCAGAGATAACCTCGGCCTAACTGAGATAACCTCGGCGCCACGACCAGGACACGTGGCAACCCGCCTGACACGTCGGCGTCACCTCGGTCACGTGTTGGTATTCAGAAAATATATCCCCATAGGTATTTATACTTCTCAAGTTTCCCCCATATTTGGAATCAATACGTATAGGTATTTATACATATGCCTATATATGAAGTTAACGATTTGGCTCTCATATCAAAATCTTTTGACATTTTTTTAATACAATTTTTTTTTTTGGCTATCAAATTGGAGTCAATATTAATGCTAAAATTTTTAGAACATAACCAAAATTTCCTTCAAACATTATTTGTAGGCACTGTTTATAGAGAGACCAAATAGTGTATGTGTGAGTGAAAATCTGACCACACTGCCTGTTTAGTGATCAACTGGAGAGCACAGGCAGAATAGATGGCTTCAGTAACCTGTAACAGAAAGAAAAGGCTCTGGCGGTGGTTCTTCCACCCGGGGGCACTCCGACGATCAAGTCAGTATATCTCTCAAAGATAATCAAGTGCTAAACTTAATACTCAAAACATAAATTGCATACCTTAGACCCACGGGGGTGCCTCTCTTTTATAATATATTCAATCCAAGTCATACTAGAAGTATGACTTCTATGAACTCCAATTCAGTGTTTACTTTGGACTCTTTAAGAGATAAAGACAAACTCCCTAAGAGCTTTATCCTTATCTTGGTTACGTCCCCTCTTCGTCTTAGGACTCTTGTCCCTTATTCGCTTATCTCGGATTCCGATATCTTCGGAGATAACCTCGACGCAGGTAAAATTGTTGATGTGGATATGATTAGTGATGGTCAGAAGCTGTACTTAATCAGTCAAACACATTAGATATGTTATTGCCTTAGTTGCTTGGTTTTTCCTTTGTATCATATTTGTACTTACTTTAAGCTATGAAAAGTTCACCAAGCTAGCTCATTTAGCGATTGTGTCCGTTAGAAATTCCTGAATAATGCTGTGGTCATAGTAGAAAATGTGACAAAAAAATTGAAGGAAAAAAAAAAAAATCAGGTAGTTTTAAGTTATGTAGGGTGATACTTCACTGTTGATTGGATGATGTTGGCCAAACATAAGTCTAATATTACAGGGCATCTGATTTTGAGTAACATTTAGATGTGATCAATTCCATGACATTTTTTGGAGACAAATTTCCCTGATCTATTTCTGGGGAATCTGGATCCTCTGGAATGGTTTTTCCTATAGTGAACTTTTGCATGGTTGGACTCGAATTTTATTATGCTGCATATTTTGTATTTCTGAACTTCTTCGCATATTGTAGTCTTGTGTAATTGTCTCATTTCACCTAAACATGCATGCATTTTAGAATACATTTCCTTTCAAGCCGACTTCTTTTTGTAAGTTACAGTCGTGCCATATAACTTTCAACAATCAGTGCAGGAAATGATTTACCCTCTTCATTGAAACCAATTATAAGACTAATAAGATTGCATTGATTCATGCACGTTCATGTGATATGGATTATATATTCTTGCTGCTAATACTTCTTTGATTGTTTATGCAACTTTTTTTCCCCCTCTGTACTTATCTGATTAGCATCCTTTATATGCATTGCAATATTTCTATCTTGAGAACCGGATGCATAACTATTTATTACAATGCATGATTAGGCTAACATTCACATGGCTGCAAACTTTGTGCTGTTTGCAGCTTGGGATTTTCAGATCTGTGCCTTCGATTTTGATCTTTATAGTTCTTTGGCTTGGGAGTTGTGTGTAAAATCTTCAATTTCTCAGGGAAAACTGAAACAAGCCTTGTCAGTCTTTTCCCAGGTCTTTGCCGAGGTTCTTGCAACCCTTCTTTAAACGCCCATCTTCTGAAGCACACTCTTCTTTGTTTAGGTCGACGTAATGGGTATGTGGAGGCATAGGGTAAATACCCCAACAAAACTCGAATACTTTCGGCAGGAGTTTTCCATCCCATCCGATGTTCACCTCAGACTAGCTGGGGATGACGATTCCATTATGCCCACAGATCATACGATGCCCTTTGGTTTTAAGCAACTTACTGAATGTGGACTTCGGCTTCCACTTAATCCCCTATTTCGTGAAGTTCTTTATTTCTACAAGCTGAACCCCATGCAACTTACCATCTACTCCTATAGGGTGATTAACGGTATTATAGCTTTAGCTAAGTAGGAGAATCTTTGGATCACCCTGGCCGACCTTCAGTACTGTTATACAATATGCCCCCTCAACCTGAAGGAAATGGGCTTTGTTTATTACCTTAAGCCGAGGTCTACCGAGTTCAAAATTGTAGCCGACCTCCCAGACTCCAACAAGGGGGCTGGGGATGACTTTTTTATTGCTTCTGGAAATTGGAAATTTGGCCCAGACGAAGATGTCCACCTCTACCCTCTTCCTCGAACAGTTAGAGGGGGCAAGGGTAAGAGCCCAGTGCCAACACTTAGTTGTTTTTATTTAAGTCTTTAAAATTTTGTCTGTTTCTAAAGTCTGTTTGCTTGTCCTGCAGATCTTCATCAATCACCAAAGAACTTCCATCAATCCTTCTTCCCTGGAAAAGACTTAAAGAAGCTTCTTGGTCTTCCTATCCACAAGCACAAGGCTCCCCTGTTGCTGAATTTCATTCCGACATACAAATCCACATTACCCGACGTCCCAAAAAGGAAGAAAAAAGGTCTTTCTCCACCTATTGCCACAACTGTAACCGTGTCTTCATCCCGAACAGATCAAGGATCCACCTCTGACCCAGCCGATCTTCCATCCACTTCGGCCCCCTACTTAATACCAATTCTAAAACGTAAACGTCGACGAAGACTTGTAAAGACTGCCGAGATGGTTCGTCCAAGGCCTGTCGTTCAAGATCTTCTTGCCGACCTTCCAACCTACGCCGATGTTGTACCAACGCATGCGATGCCCGCACCAAAACCGAAGAGAGTAAAAAAGGCTCAGCCCAAGGCCAAGGCTACTGACGCCGAGGTTGAGGATGCTTTTCCTATTTCTCAGCTGGCACAAGGCAAAAAATCAACCTTTGCTTCCACCAAGAGGTCTGCTGAGGCCCAACCCTTAGGGTCTACACAATCGAAAAAGCCGAGGTCATCGTCTGCGACGATCTCGGCGTCCAAGAAGCCCGACGTTCCATGGGCTCCTCAACTAACTCTGGAGGATAGGCCTATTATGGCCAGTGAAAGTGCCGACGATATCAACGTTGGTGTCGCCCTCAGCACTGCTTTTCTCCTTCCGCAGGATTTGGAACGAAATGCTGAACTCAGTGAGTATGAGAATTACGCTCTCATGCTCCAACACTCCGTTCAAGTAAGTGTTCCTGTTTGCACTTGTGATTTTTCCTTCTGTTTCTTACTGAGAATATTTTCTAACACTTCTGTTTTTCTTCAGGCCATTCAGCACGCCCATTCATTTTCAATGCAATCTTTTGAAAATCGGCAAAGATTGGTTGATATGAAGAGGGAAGCATCTTCCATGAAGAAAGAGATTAAATCTCTTGAATCAAGGATGAAAAAATTGGAAGATCAGGCCGAGGCGGCTACTAAGGCCCAGCAGATGGCTGAAGAGAAAGTGGAGTCTGCTGAGGCTATCCGAAAAGTTGCTGAAGCTGAGAAGAAGGAGGCCGAAGTGAAAAAGGCCCAGGCTGAGAAGGAGCTCCAGCAGGCTTTGGCCACCAAGGAGGCCGAAGTCAAAGAGGCTGATGAAAAGGCCTATGCCCAAGGTATGGCTGACGTCACAGAGGATTATAAACTTCAAGTCAGGCAGGCATACAACAAGGGATTTTCCCTTGGTTGGATGTCCCTGATAAAAAAACTTGATCTCCCTGTTGACTCACCCTTTCGTAATGCCGATGCCATTCCTTTACCATTTCCTTCTCCAAGTCAGGTTGAAGATGAATCAGAGACTGAGGCTGATGCCGAGGATGAGGATGAAGGGAAAAATGATGATGAGGCCTTGGTGAGGAAACCCAAGGATGCTGCTAAAGCTAAGTCCCCTCCTCCTGCTGAGCAAGTGATGGATTTAACCTTGGATGAGGAGGGTGATGAGGTTGGGGAGGCACCCAAGGAAATTGCCATCGGGCAACTATCATCCGACCTTCTTTTGGCTGAAAGAAATCTGGACAATACGCTGGCTGAGATTGATGCTGAGATAGAAGCAGAAAAGGTTGCCGAGGACGTTCCACCAGAATCGTCCGAGGTCCCAGTCCCTGCAGCGGCTAATACTGAAGAGTCTTGATTTAAAATGTCTTTTGTACTTTTTCCTTCTTTTTCTGCACTTTGCACTTTGTACTCTCTTTTAATTTCTGGACAATGCAAAACTCCTTCTAATGGCCGACGTAGCTTTTTCAATATGTAACTGTAACTGTTCTTTCTATGGATGTTTTGTGATGTTCTGTTGATTGCTTCTGCATAGTTCTATACTTAGAAATTTTTGCATGCTTTTTCATTTTGCTTCCTTTGTGCAATCTTCTCGGGGTTACATACCTCAG